CTCCCTTGCCAACGTGGATCAAGGAAATGCTAACAGAGCATTTTTACGTTGCAACAGAGCACCGTTAAAAAAGATTCGCTTTGAAGCATTTAGCGACAAAACTATATGAACGATCATCAATACATGGGCCACTATCATCAATTTTTAGTGACGTCTACCAATTGTTAAAGCTTCACCGGACCACCAAATGTTCTCTGCAAGAACATTGAATAAACACAGCCAATATAATATTTGGTGTCTTAAATGTAATCACTCACAATCAAATCAACAACGAAGATATAATGCTTTACGCGCTCACGATAAATCAGGCCGAGCTGCGTCTTGCCTCCACAAAATTAACTTATTCACCATCTCATTGGATATCATAGGACGCCATGTATCAGCATCCAGAGGTCCCACCCGCAGCATCACAGGCGCCAAAAAGATATCTCAAAGAGGATAATGCCATCTACCCAAAAACTGAGAGACCTGCTGAAACTTCAGGTTCTCGAGGTCCATGAAGGACGTTTGAGCTATTCATCTCGAGCTCTCTACCATCACACCATCATCGTCTCAGACAGAGCTCTGGAAGTATATCTGGGGGCTCATCTTGCATCGTGTAGTTCACCTCTCGCTCTATATCTCTCTCTTTATCTATCTATCAGTCTAACTATCTATATATATATACTACGGGCATGGTGGCGGGAGGCCGAAGGCGTGGGTTTATAACTGAGAAGGAAAAAAAAACCTTGGTGAAAACAGCAACAACGGACTATTTATTCTTCGATGTTTCGGCCGGAGCCCGGCCTTTGTCAGGAAGAGCTTTTACAGATGAACACGGGTGGTATTTATACGATGCTACGGTCGAGTCTAAGTTTAAAAACGGCGGGATGATGGTTAGAGTTTCTAAAGAAGCGTAGGAAGAGTTCCAGATGGGCAAACGTTTATACAATGCTACGGTCGGGTCCAAATTTCGGCGGGGTTACGATTGGAGGGGTTAAGAAACTTTCTACCGATATACCTGAGCCCGATTGGAACTTAATGAGATTCAGCTCCAATGCCTCCCTCACTCTCTGCATTAACCGGGTATTTTCTACGGAATAATACAAGTCCTTAATGTCCATCGATAACACTGAACAACGCCTTCCATGATGAGCCTCCAAACTGTCAAACAATTCATTTAAATTTCTAAGTGATAATGAATTCTTTAAGCATGCATAACCCAACCCCTTTTGTAGAAACATTGATACCACTTTCTGCCATGTCCCACTCTCATTGATGGCCGCACGAAGGGGCATTTCAGGCTTATGGTCTTTTAGAGAAAAAAAGTTGATGACCTATGTTGAATTAATTGCACTTGTGATACGTTTTACTACATCCTTCAATTAATTCTTATTCAGTACTGCACAAATGTTTCTTTTCAACTTTTCAATGTTCCCTACCCCTTCCGAAAAAAGGTATTCATAGCCGTTTCTGTTTTTTTGTTTTTTTATCTTGAATACTGGCATAGGTAAGACTACAAACCGTCCGGACTTTTCTGTTTCTAACAACTTGAAGGACTTCGTTTGCAACTCCCTTTTAACCCCATTGATTTCTCTGAAATTTCTTTTGTCCCTTGGGCACGTTACATCCATTACTTTTTTACATCCTACTGATTGCATGATCTATAAAAGCAACCTTTTCTTCTGGGTTAACCATTCTGGTTACAGTATGAATGAAAGATAACACGTCAATCCTCGAAGGCTTCAAATTCAGACAACACTTCGGTCCCTTGGCTAAAACTTCCTCCGTCCTAGGTGATAATACTTCGCCACATGAGTTGAAAACAAGCTGCCGGGGCTCACGCCATACAACAAATTAAAACCACGATTTCGGACTCCCATTAACATAAGACTTCAAGTCTTTGACACTGTCTAGGACATGCCTTCGCTTCGCATTCCATAGTCGGTCAAACAGAGTTCTTCTGGTGCTGTTCTATTGATTGTAGTCATGGAAGTGCTTGAAATTATCTCCCAGGAGAAGTATCCAAAGTCTGTTACACGCACCTCGGATGTCCTGGATCCTACTGGTGGCTCCGTTCCGGTAGGCCTTGATGACCTTTTTATTTGCGTACCACGGAATACTCGATGAGGACAGGTGTTTGAAGTGCTCCGGATCCACGAAGTTCTTGCGAAGACATGCCGAAGAAAGTCACATCCGCTTCTATCTCTGCCAGTCGACGTCCTAGTTTATCCAAAACCGCGAAGGTTTGGAAATTAGCGTGTTTGTCGGTGGATACAACGTTGGGCCATAAGAAAAGGGGACCAAACCTGCTTTTGGGATGATCATAGAAAAAATCGTAAGGGTGCAGGCGAGCTGGGGAATATTAACCATGTTGAGATGTCGTCCTGTCTATTTTCTGTCCCTTCTACGTTTTGATGTTTCTTCTCTACCCCAGTCTCAGGTTAATTTCAGCATGGTTACGATTGGAGCTTTCGTGAGAGGGAAGCTTGGGGCAGTTCGTATCCGGGTGAAGAAGCTTGACGGTTGGGGCTAAGTGTCAAGGACGGTGGAATGGCGTTGTAGCTTCTTGAGAGGGGGCGCAGGGTGACTTCGTGTCCGGGCGGGTCCTGGACGATAGCGTACAATAGACGAAAGATACACGCGCAAAGTAAAGTGTTGTCTCTAAATAAAAAATAAAAAAACGGCACGGTCACTTGTGTTGTTTTGTGGGGCATGCATGTGTTAGACCTGGAAGCAATCTTGGGGAAGTTACTTTTAAAAAGTAATTCGTTACAGTTACTTTCAGAAAAAAGTAGCGAAGTTACCGTTACAGTTACCGCAACAAATTAATAACTCGTTACAGTTACAGTTACTTATAAAATGTAACGACGTTACTTTTCAGTTACTTTTCTATAACAAAAAAAAAACGGAGGAAAAACTAGAAAACGCCCCTCACCAAGTTTTGTTGCATAAAACTAAAAAATGCGATTTTCGCTTCATATTGCAACTTAGCAGCAGTTGCTTCTCGAAGTTAGTGTCTGAAAGCTTCCCTCAGTTGATGGCAAACACATCCCTGCCCTTGCTGAACAGGCGCTCAACTGGCGCGCTTGAAGGAATTGCATGGGGGCAATCGCGGACCCAATACAAATGCCCATATATCCTTGGTAGCACTAGCACATTAGTGGCTCGTTTACGGTTGCGCTGGGTTCGTAGAGTCGCTGTACATATTTCAGTTCGTACCCGGCAAGCCAGATACAAACACCGCGTAAACAGCAGTAAATTTTGCCTCGAGTGTTGATAGCACGCCGTAGTGGCGCAAATGAAGATACGAAACATGCGCATTGCGTAGTAGTGGCGCTAATCGAAATACGAAACATGCGCAGTGACCTCCGTGTGTATTGTTGATTCACGGTTGATTCACTCGTTTAAAAAGCGTTTGCGCAGAAAAACGATACTAAGATATTAAGATACTAAGATGTAGGTGTTCAGTCACAAAGTACAAGCACGTGCGTAAAGATAACTAGATTTTTTTTTTCATCAAGTCTACACGTGGCTATATTCGGGTCGCCACTCGCCAGAAACAACGTATTCACGAGTTTGTGCAAGACCAACTTGACACTCAAAATTTTGGAAAACACATTTCGGAAAATGCGATATTGTACTCGTTCAATTATCTAATATTCATAAAACGAACTGGAAAGTAACGACAAAAGTAACTTCGTTACTTTCATCGTTACCTCAGAAAAAGTAATAGAACCACAGTTACAAGTTACATTTTTAAAAAGTAACTCGTTACAGTTACAAGTTACCAAAAAAGTAACGAAGTTACAGTAACGCGATACTAGTAACGCGTTACTATTTAAGACTGCCTGGAAGGGAATAATGTTCAACCTAGAAATAAAAAGAAAGAAAATGAATATCAAAATCTGGAAATAAAAGAGAAAAGTTGATGGTCCATTTCGGGCCACAAACGCTGTACCACTGCTAACAATAAGGTCTGGGACCTGAAAAGATGTCCCCTGATCGCTGTTGCTATTCGTCTGTTCGCATTTTATTCGATGCCAGAGTACCGGGGCTTTCATTTATTCCATGTTTAATAGCGTTGAATCGGTAAATTAGGTAGAATTCACGGTGTTCACGTTCGCAATTTGATTTAAATCCAGAATCTAGGAGCGTCACCGACAAGTTATCAAACGAGTGTTTTTTATGGCGTGAGATTTGTGATTTATGGCGTGAGATTTGTGATTATTAAAGCGCAGTCTAAATGCCGCTCTAGTCTGCCCTATGTATTGCATTTTACATACCGTACACTTGAATAAGTACACGACATTCGACGAGGCACATGTTAAGTGCCCTTTAATTTTGATCGAGAACTGCGAGTGCGTTCTGCTGGCCTTGTTTGTGTGCTGCATCTGTTTACAGATCAGACATCCTGGGTGCATGCGGGATACGGCTCATTCGTCACATGTCGATTCGTCATAGGGCAACTGGTAACTGGCCCGTTCGTCACAGCGGAACATTCGTCATAGGATGATTCGTCACGCGGGCAGTTCGTCACACAATGACCCCAAGATCGTTAAACGTTTTTATTTTTCTATATTATTTTATCAGGAAAGTAACGAAAGGGGATCACCCAACCAAATGCCTACAACGTCGGTGAGATTGACTATTCTACGAACGGGAACAAAAGCATGTCCCAATCACCCCAAGCTAAGGCAAAATGCAGCCTTTAGCCTGCATGTTGTCTTAACTGGGTTGCCTAACTAACAAAGAACTTCGAGAACATAAAGTTCACAATAGAAAAAAAAAAAAAAAAAAAAAAAACTATACCCGATTTTTTTTTTTTGTGTGTGTGCGCCGCTTTTGGGGTTTATTTGCCCGGTTGCTTCAGAATATAAGAAGACGAATCTGTTTTGCTTCCCATCTCACTCTCAATTTCTAAACGGAGGTAGTTACTACTAAGAGAGGTGGCGGTATGCTTCTTCACGAAGGATATTCCTAAGCTTGCATTAAGGTTAACGAACCTACATTGTGTTGGGCCTGCCGGCGAAGAGGAGTTTGTAAAACTAAAATAGTTACCGATCAAGCCAAGACTCGAGTAATCTTTTATTCCAGTGACCATACGCATGCCGGTGACCCCACCAAGATAAACGTGCTTCGGGATCGTCATTAGATGAAGGAAAAGGCTGGTATGTACCAAAATATGTTCCTGGTCTTATATTACTAAAACAAGTTCAGTAGCATCCTTCCTTACTCCAGTGGAAGGCCGTCTAGCACCGCACGAAATACTTCTGAATGCGGGTGCCTGTGTCAGTGATGACACCGCATCGCAGATTCCCGCACCGACCACACTTCGGCGCACAATCCGCAAGCAAAGGCAGCGGGCGAATTTCGAGTATAGCGTACCATCTTCCAGAGCCGAGATACGAATGCGCACAGAGGTTTAGGTAAAGTGTATTGCAGCGCAACTTCCCAGTGCGCGACATATTAGGACAATAGTGACTGTTTAGCCTGCATGCAGACCACAGTCAAAGGAGATTCTTTTCTCCTCCACTACAGCGGAGAGAGCGATAGCGAAAGGATCAAGATCTCTGCTACCAAGCGCAACTTGAGTTGTCAGGCTCAGGCGTCTACGTGGTTTGCGGACGGGACCTTTAAAGTCACCCCGGCACAGTTTTACCAACTGTAAACGGTGCATGCCACAGTCAATGGCGTGTTAGTGCCAAGGGTTTATAGCTTACTGCCAACAAATCTGAAGCTACCTACAGAAGGTAAGCATTCAAGAGCTCTGATAAATGTATAAAACAAAACGCTCGGTGGCCCTATCATTGGATATGTGTTCAAACACTTCAAAATATATTCGCTTTTTTAAGGTTTTTCGACGTCGTGCTGAGTCACATGGGGGCCAACTACCTTGAGGTGGCTTACACAGACGTCTAGATAGTGGCCATCAACGCAATACAAGCCATCATTCCCGGCGCTAGTATACAGGGACCCTTTTTTTCACTTCTCCCAGTCGGTGTACAGGAAGATGTACTCTAGTGGTCACCAGAGTCGCTACAATTCCGATGAAGAGTTTGCTGTTCTGGTGTGCGGCATTCTATTTATATGTATTATTGTAGTCTTCAGATAAACCAATTGGTAGACAATTTGTGTGGATTTTCAGACGAGAATGCTTCCAGCATTGGCCTTCTTGCCAACCACCGACATTTCCGAGGCCTTCCAGGACCTTCTCGAGGTTTTCCCCACCGATGCCTCACTCGTGGCGGACTGCTTTGAGGACGTGTATATCGCGAGACCCCGTAGAAAAGGGTTGTCGTCGGCCACCTTCCTACTCTGGCTTGGTCAGTCAGATAATCAATACTAGCAGAAATGCCAAGGACTAACATCAGCATCGCTGCGTGGCACCGGGGACTGCAGGTAACAACTGATCTAATCCTCTTAGAACTTGGATGTCTTCTGTAGCACATTTTTACATTTGTGGCTCAAAGCCTCAGTACGGTGCCCCCTCAAAAAGCTTTCTCCACGAGTGTATGTGTGTGTGTTTTTTTCGTTTTATGCCAGAACAACGTGGGCTATAGTTCTCCCATTATCTGGGCGTTCCTGGGCTGCATCAAGAGAGAGCAGTCCTTGACAGAGATGAAGCTGGCTCAAGCAGAGGGCGGCACGACATCTCAGAGGGTATCGAAAAAGCATGCCGACTGGAACCGGCGTCTTCAGATCATTGTGAGCCGCTACGACGGTAGCAATCATCTTGAAACCTTGAGGGCGGCAGCTCGGAATATCGCTCTTTAAGGTGTTTTTATTTCGCTCAATAAACCTGCTGTTTTCTAAGTACGACGATGACTTGTTTGGATGTTCCCTCTCTTTAGTAAAAATGAAATATAACGTACAAATCTTTATTGCGTGGAAAACGAAGTTAATACAAGTTGGGGCGAATTTGAATATCCGGTTCGCACAGTGACAAATTTTCCTAGTGACAAGTTCCCCTATGACGAATGTTCCGCTGTGACGAACGGACCTACTACCAGTTGGCCTATGACGAATGCACACATGACAAACGGGCCTATACCCGGTGCATGCAAGGCCTACATTCGTTAGGTGGTGGCGATGAATTTATCAGAGAGTTTACTAGCGCGTCTTTGAGGTTAGGCGATCGTCTGTGGACTACCCCAGTGGCGGATGGAAACGCGCGTTTAAGATGCTCGCTTTATTCGGGAATGTTATAATGTCGTCTTAAGATATTATTTATATTAGCATGGTTCATGCTATTAGTTAGATATAGATTTGTGCGTTGTGTGTCGCTTTGCGTGGGACGCGGGCTGATGAGGTCTGCTCGGTTCAGTTGCTTGGCTTTTCTGATTGCATCGTCGATTATACGGGGTGGATACTTTTGTTTCTCTAGCACTGCCTTTAAATCTTCGCTGCTCGCGTCACAATCTGTCTCTTTAGAACAAATTCGTTTGAAACGATGAGCTTGGCTATAGGGAGTATTCACTGGACGCCATATTTGTGGGTGCTGTTGAGAGCGCATGCTCAGAACGAGCTGACATCAATAGGCTGCTGAGACCGGCACTCTTGATGGTGCGGAACGTTGCAAAAGAACTGGAAGCTCGCCATCAGCACGCGTTCGCGCACACAGCTATAGCCGCTAGTGAATGCTCCCTATAGGGAATGCTGTTCTTGCAGTAGTGTCGGTGGTCGCTTTGATAATGCAGGTATTGCTGTCGATCTGTTGGCTTACGGTACAGGCTCGTGGCAAGTTTACCTTCGTCTATTTTAACGTTGACGTCCCGGAGAAAAGGTCACCGGAGTAAAGCGTACCGGAGAAAAGCTGACTGGGGATAAGCGCACCAGAGAAAAGCTCACCGCAAAACCAACGGATGGAAAGAAAAGCTCACCGTTTTTTTTTTCTTATGTGGAGGCTGCTGGATCATGAGTAACATATATCAATTTATTATCATTAAAATTCTTCAGCTTTGCAACAAAGAAAATTCCCTTTTTTTGCATTATTTGTTAAGCTTATTGGGTATATTGCTCCCAAATTATTATTTGCGGGCGAGTGTTTTCTGTGGCTTACTCTGCAGGCAAATAAAGTCCAACTCAAATTTTTATGAACTTGAAGAACAGGAAAAAGTTCGAAAACCTAATAATGTCTGCATAAAACTTAAAAATCACAAGTGTAAATGCCGAAAATTCGAAAGTGCATGCGCAACAACGCGGGGCCTGAAATTCTCTTTAAAGCTTTTGTTAACCTTTAAAAATAGGACAAAACAGTCAGTAGGATATCAAAACTTTTTTCTTTCACGGAGAAGCACGTTTTCTAGACGTTCGTGCTGGTGTTTCCACACGCTGCCTTTGTGTCATAGTGCCTTTCTACGGCGAGCCACCCATGACCTTCAGAGCTGCACACTGGAAACCGTTGTTACTTGCGACCTGTATAAGAAGTAGTCTTCTGTAAGGTAGCGAATAGGGCGAGTTGGTAAACGTTATGCATGATGAAAACCACTCAAACGACGACGACGGAGTGAAGACAACAAACACTACAGGACGAATCAGTTCTCGCAACTAAAGTTTTGTTAGTGAAACTAACAGAAAAAAGCCGCGTAGCCGACACTGATTACATCAACAAACACCTACTTATCTATTAGGCACTACACAATATTTGAAACTGAAACGGTTTACACACCGCTATTCATATTAGCTCGCAAAGAACAAACATCTTTATTTGACAGAGCTACCGACGGCACTTTGCCAGTTGACAATAAATTGTTGTCCTTCTTACCGCTGTACGATGTTCGGATTTTATAATTGTGGCTTCATTAATATGCAGAATGGGTGATTATTAATTTCTGATGAACTAGTAAACATGTCCCATGAACTTCAAGAATATTGCAAAAACGTGGACATATTTTTAATGAAGCGACGAATGCGAATTATGTTAAATTGCAACGTTTGACGCAGAATCCGCTAAGTTAAAAAATAAATAAAATCGGTGAGCTTTTTTCCGCATTACCTCAAAGGCCGGTGAGCTTTTCTCCGGACCTGCCGGTTTTGCGGTGAGCTTTTCTCCGGTGAGCTTATCTCCGGTGAGCTTTTCTCCGGTGAGATTTTCTCCGCCGCCCGTCTATTTTAACGTTGACGTCTAAGAAGTTTATTTCGGTTTGAGAGTACGAATGTGTAAAGCGGATGCTCGGATGAGCAACGTTGTATCGACCTATGAAGTCCACCAGCTCCTCCCCAGTGTGCGACCAGGCAATAAATATATCATCTATAAACCATTTGTATATTAGCGTCTTTACGGGACATTCAGAAAGGAACTGAGATTAGAATTTCCCCATGAACACGTTGGCATAGTTCGGGGCCATTTTGGTGCCCATCGCGGTTCTACTAACCTGCCTAAAGTATTCATTGTTAAATTCGAACCTGTTGAGTTCTAAGACAAGCCTCGCAAGAGTAGCGACGACCTGTCCATCTGGGGTATCCGGTTCTTTGTGGAGTACGTACATGTCAATTAAAGAAATTATTCCATCATCGTATGGGATATTCGTATACAGCGATGACACATCGAGTGTTTTTTTTTTGGCAGCACTTTAATTTGCGCGTGTATCTTTCGTCTATTGTACGCTATCGTCCAGGTCACCCCTGCCCGCCCGGACAAAAAGTCACCATGCGCCCCCTCTAAATAAGCTACAAACGTCATCCCACCGTCCTTGAGACTTGGCCCCGACCGTCGAGCTTACTCACCCGGATACGAACTGCCCTACGCTAATCTCTCACGAAAGCTCCAATCGTCACTACGCCGAGATTTGGACCCGACCGTAGCGTTGTATAAACGTTTGCCCATCTGGAACTGTTCCTACGCTTTTTTGGAAACTCCAACCATCATCCCGCCGTTTTTGAAACTTGGACTCGACCGTAGCATTGTATAAATACCACCCGCGTTCATCTGTAAAAGTTCTTCCCGACAAAGGCGGACTCGGGCCGAAACATCGAAGAATAAATAGTCCGTTGTTGCTGCTTTCACCAAGGTTTTTTTCTTCTCAGTTATATACCCACGCCTTCGGCCTCCCGCCACAATGCCCGTTGTATACATATATATATATTTATATATATATAAACGACCACTGGCGAAGCCTCACGGGTGGTGGGAGGGGCAAAGAGGTGGAGGGTGCGGCGATCGGAACAGCTTTGATTGGGGGGCATGCCTCTTTGGGTCAAAACCTGTGGGAGCGACCACCCCTACTGCCCCCGCCCCCTCCCCCCCCCCCCCCCCCCCGGTTCCGAAGCCCCTGGTCTGAGCACTCGTTACTATATCTACTGCACACCAACACTGACTGGTAGGGCGACGATGGAGTAGAATGTGGAATCGCTTGTACAGGAAAACCTAATCCGCCCGTCCATGTCACCCGCACTGCCCACCGGGCGTTAGCAAAAAAAATAAATAAATGAAGGTTTTGCTCAAAATTGTAGTGAGAGCCATTCGCTCGGTGATGACAGAAAGTATGTTACTCTTTTCAGACAAAACTCCGAAATTGGGATGAAAGGAAGGGCAACACAACACGGTCTCAAACACCGCTGTGTTTCAGACTTCGTGTTGTGTTAATTGTCCTTCCTCTCCCCCCAGTCTCGGGGTTTTGTCTAAAATGTTAAACCTCGCCAGCTTCTTTGCGCCCTAACGTTTTGTTCTTATTTTACTCTATTTCGTAGATATAATATGTGATTGATTCAGTCTTAAATATTGCCGCACTGTATGGTGCGGTAATATTTAAAGTGCACTTCCACTTTTTTACTTACAATTAAACTATTGCCAACTGGTGTGCGGGACAACAACAATTTCAAATCTACTGCGTGTTCACTTAACGCTATATACCTATATACGGCGCATCTATAACGCGGCGATTAGTGCACCCAGTGCAATTTTCTGAAATCGTTCCAGCGTGATCAAAACCTACAACTTATATATATATCGTTTGAGAATCCGCTATAAATCAAACACAAACTATATCAATCGTATGGGTAATGTGGCCCAGATGGAAATAAAAAGCTTTAGATATTATACAAGATATAAGGATAACTAAACAGTACGTACAACTCGACTAAACTTAGGAATATGGTAACTATCTTAGTCATTGCCATTTTTGTTTAATTGCAATCACTTTGTTAATTTTTATATATACACACTGAAGTACTGTACACTGAACGTCGCGTAGTGTACTAAAGCTTGGAAAGCTATTTTTTTTTCATGTGTACTATCAGAATAAGCAAAAGTAAGTTCTGTGAATTTTTGGTTTCATTTGTGTTCAGCTACCCAAACACTGTGTCTTAGTGTAGGCAAACGTCACTGCTGCGAATCCATTTCTTGGTGGTTTTCGTTGCTTTAGTGATGGAATTACCTCGTATTATTTAATAATTTCTCATTTTATATTGGTTTACTTTTCTTACTCCTGCTTTGTACCTGTGCGGGTCTGAGGACCAGTCAAGCTGCTCGGACACCGACTTATCATCAGCTCTCGCCATACTTACATGATAAATAAAACTATTATGATAATAATATCCAGTATAGTGGGACAGACCGCGCTTTCGGGGCCAGAACAATAGAAATCCAGGTTTAGGTAAAAGAGAGTAGGAGCGGCTGGTGAAAAGAAAAGCGCCTTGAAGGTAGCGTCAGGAGGTGTCAAAACAAGAACCGCTGCTCTTTTATTTTTTATTTTGCTGGGGAAAAAAACACAACCGGCTGCTTGTGTTCTTCTCCTTGTGGTAGTAAAAATTCTGTGAGAATGTGCTGAGGTCCTGGGAAAGAAGGGCACTTTCCAAA